TCCTGTCTGTCGCGCGCCCCGTGGCGCGCGACGTTTTTCTTCCCGCCACGTGCTCGAGGCGCATGGCGGTTTTCTGCCCGCCGTGCGCCCCGAGGCGCGCGGCGGTTTCCTGCCCCGTCGACCAGCACGTCGCCCCCTGTCGCCCGTCGAGGCGCCCTCAGGGGCTCGAGCGCGCCCCCCCACCCCCCCTCCCGTCGCCCATCGTGGCGCCCTCGGGAGCCCGCGCGCGGCCCCCTCACGTCGCCCGTCATGGCGCCCTCGGGGGCCCGCGCGGCCCCCACTTCCGTCGCCCGTCGAGGCGCCCTCGGGGGCCCGCGAGCGGCCCCCTCCCGTCGCCCGTCGAGGCGCCCTCAGGGGCTCGCGCGCGGCCCCCTCCCGTCGCCCGTCGTGGCGCCCTCGGGGGCCCGTGTGCGGCCCCCTCCCGTCGCCCGTCGTGGCGCTCTCGGGGGCCCGCGCGGCCCCCACTTCCGTCGCCCGTCGAGGCGACCTCGAGGGCCCGCGCGCGACCCCCTCCCGTCGCCCGTCGAGGAGCCCTCGGGGGCCCGCGCGCTTCCCCTCCTGCATCTCGCGAACCGCCCCTGCAGCCCGCGAGCCGCCCCTGCAGCCCACGCGAGCCGCCCCTGCAGCCCGCGACCCGCCCCTGCTGCCTCCTGCCCTCGTGCAACTGCGGGGTGGCGGGTGTGTGTGTTGCCACTTGCTCCTCCTCCTCCTCCGTCTCCCACTGATGCAGCTGCCGCTGAGGGGGGTGGGTGCGTGGGAGCCGAGGGAGTGGTGCTAGGGGGGTGACGTGGGAGTGGAGCTAGGGGTGCAGCTCGGTGTAGCCGCGGAGCCAGTTACTCCTAAAGTCCAGGCCTTTGCTTCGGTAGCCACTGAGCCAGCCGCTACAGTGTGTCTGCAGATTCAGCCGTTGCCTCCCATCTTCTCGCCCCCACAGTCTCTCCTCCTCCTCACTTGCCCTCTGTGATAGCCTCTAGCTTTACTTATCATTGTTTTTTTTTTTTTTTTTTTTTTTTTTGCTTATATGAATTATACACTGGAACAGACAAGTGTACAACTCATAAACAGTCGTAACTGTGCATGAGAGACAGGGAGGCCCGCCTCAGAATATTCGATCCTCAAGCATGGATCCGGGGCCTGCGTGGTTTGCCCCAAATTGCCGCGAAGCTGTTGGTCCATTTCCAGCCTTTGCCAACCACCACTCTGATACGATCCAGAAGGTTGCGTTTTTGTTCCGTCATTTCTTGCCACCTGGCATGTTGACTCTTCCCACGCTGCTGCACCCTCGCCACCGAGGCACGCAGATAGACATTCACATGCATGCGGAGAGCCGACTCAATCCTCCGCAGTACTCTCCGCGTGCGGAACTTGCAGCCCCTGAAGGCACCTTCACACCTTTCCGCCCACAGCTGATGTAGGGCGATCGCCACCAACGATGGCTCCGGGAAGGCTGACAAGGACCCCGCCTTTCCAAACAACCAATCACCGAGCGAGTCCCCCTTCCTGGATGGGTTGATCAGCCGCAGAGCCTTTTTAACCACCGACACCACCCTTTGAATTCTTGGGCAATCCAAAAAACAGTGTTCCAAAGTCTCAAACTCGTTGCAGTGAGGGCATGCTGGTTTGCTGCTGAGAAACTCCAGCCTCTCCCCAACTTTTACTTATCATTGTGAACTATTGCTCTGCCTGCTTATTGTGCTGATTAACCCCACTTTGGCTATGGGGGTGTGTCAGAATGTTGTATTTGTCTAGCTTGCAGTGGGGTACTCTATAGCGAGTACAGCCCAATTTAGGGTTTCCTATATGTACTCAACTGCCTGCTAGTGCAAACTCTCTTTCGTGTTCTATCTTTCTGCCTACTATCTCTGACACAGATGAGGCATCTCTGAGGAGGAAATCGGCGGCGGGGCAGACGGCGTCCTCGTCGACGCCGGCCCGTACTCTGCCTTCCACTTCTCCATCGACAGGTTCTCATAGAAGATTTCTTCAACCGTCGTGACGACTTTGTTGGCAGTCAGGTCAAGCACCTCCCAACCCTTGCTCTATGGCGACACACCGAGGTGGAGACCCCAACGAGCCTTCGGCGCCAGCTTCCCGCCGCGCTGGTGCTCGGGGACCATAAACTGCACCATGCAGCCCCACACGCGCGCCAGCATCAGATCCAGCTTCTTCTCGAACAGCAACTCATGCGGCGTCGTCCCCTTCGGTAGAGAAGCACGTTCGAGGCAGTTGCGCACCCAGACGAGGTGCCCCATTACGCACCCACAATCTAAGCATCATAACATTTTGAGACAATGAACCCTGAAAGATCGTTCCTCGACAAACATGCACCTTTGCCGAGTCAACAACGGCAGGTGAAACGAGAATGCAATGTAGTTTTCACCTGACAAAGTTCTTGCTCATGTTCTACAACGTTCATAGTTGTGCACGTTTTTACTGTTAGTAAAAACGTGTTTCAGGTTCAGTTTTCTTACTGAATCAAATTCTACAATTTCTGAGATTACCTGATTGGTCAAAATTTGTTGTTTCGTACTTGGCGAAATCCGCGCACGTTGCGAATTTTGGAGCCAAGTAATTCTGGTCGACCAGAATCGCTCTGCTTGACGAAACACTCGTCGAACTAAATTCTGTCGACCAGCAATCCGTCGAAACACCAATTCTGCCAAATCCGTCTATCATAAAGGCTCGTCTTTGGCGCCGTTTTACTCCCGTCGACGAGCTCCTCCTAGACGAGGACTTTGATCGAGCAGAAGAAACACTTCTACTTCGACCAATTAATCTCGTCGACAAACGACTCGTCGCACACGGAGAAAAGTCACAGAAGTCGCCGATGACGACGAAACGAACACTGCTCTGTTCCGAAATGCCTGGTCGACTTCGCCCAAGCGAGGGCGGGGCCTTTTCCCTTCGACAGAGCCAACTATTTTGTGTAGGAGAGTGATGTGAAGGATATTAGGCAACGTAACTAAGAACCGCGTTACTCACACTTGCAGGATGAATTACTTGAGAGGGCAGTAGATCGCAGCAGGGCAGGTGCGTTTGAAGCGTCGGCATCGCCCACCATTAAACCAGAGGTCCAAGACTCTCAAGCTTAGGAAGGTTGCTTGGGCCAAGAAACGCGACTGGCTCGCAAACCAGGGTGTTGTCGAAATCGGTGGTTGTGTGTCGCAAAGTATGAAAACCTCGCGAGTGTAACCAGATCTAGAATGCGACGTCAAGATTCGTTCGCAGATGGTTTCGGATGGGCGCGAAATCTGTTTACGAAATCGTCACTGCTATCGTCCAGTAATTTCGCGTGGCAAAAATTGTCCCGACGATTTTCGAAATGAGGAAGTTTGAGTCAGTATCTACTGGGTCACACCCAACCAAAGTTAGGAAGTTCGAGGCAGTTTTGGGCTGTTTGGGACTCCGGTTTTAAGAACATTTTGACATGTTCGGAGTCCTCACTAATGACATCCATATACCGTTTGGGTGAGTGCTGTAACGAATTAGAAATGTGTTTCGATAGGTTGTGCGGAACGTCCTGCAGGATGAACAAGCCTTAACGAACAATGTTGATGAGCCATCCGTACACAACGAAGTGACATTATCATGTACAGAATCTTCACTGTACCTGCAGTGTCGAGGTCCCTTATAACCCGAACAAAACCACCTGCCCTCGAGCAGCTTCGGGAGCAACTTTCCCAACCAGGGCTGTCGCTACAAGGGCAAATGCCCTTAATGCCCTGAACATTAAGGGTTGAGTTTGGCCTAGGTCCCCGAATTTAAGGGTTGGGTTTCAGGCCAGCACGTCTGCCTAAAGTGCTTTGCTCGGGGCTAACCCGGATTTCAAGTACGAGTCTTGGGGCTAGCCCTTTCCCCTTCGAACTGATTCCCGCCGTACCTCCCTCCCCTCTCCCCACCCGCCCCATTTCCCATCATCCCAGTTCCAGGTGCAGTATAACTCTTCCCAGAGCTAGTTTCGATTACTCTGTGAACTTTCGAGGTCAGGACCTAAACTGTTTTTTTCGAAATCAGAACCTGAACCGCAGGTCAGAACCTGAAGTGGTTTTAGTACAGACCATCGGTTTCTGCGTGGAATGTCAGTCCTTAAGTTTTCTGTCCGCTAACAGCCTCAAGATCCTGCCTTTGGTCGCAACAAGGAAGGGGAATGCAGCGTAGGCCAGGGAGTACTTAGTGCTAGAGAGGTCCCAGAACCTCACCCTTACAATTTGGTTGGGCAGTGAAAATCGAGGGTGATCTCTTGTCTAGCAAAAGTGCATGACACTTTGTAGCCGTGATTTCAAGTGCTGAGTTTGGCCCCAAAACGTAAATCTAAGGGCAAATTTCTGGGAAGCTCAGCCTTCCAAGTTCTGGCCCCAGAGCAATCGACAGCCCTGTTCCCAACCTAGGGTTTGAGCAAAATGGCGAACGCCTGTTCGGTTCGCCTCGAACATGTTCGAGGCGAACCGAACATGTTTTTTTTTTTTTTTTGCCTAAAATGTTCGGGCCGAACATGTTCGGTGTTCGGCCGAACATGTTCGGCGTTCGCCCCAGAATTTCGGGGCTCCAAGCCGAACACGAACATGTTCGAGTTCGACTTGGGGGCCACGCGAACACCAAAAGGGTTCGCGTCAAATTTGGCCGCGACCAAGTTTAGGTCGCGGCCAATTTGAGTTTGAGCTCATTTCGTGAGCTCAAACTCAGAACTCGTTTTCACCTTAGCCCTCCCTCACACAGCCGCCCTAGCGTTCTTGTTTTTGGTGCAAGTGCACGCCGTTACTTCCAATCTACACGGACATTAGATCTAGGACTAGGGTTTACCGTAGTGTAGCATCATTCTTTAAGGCGGAGTAGCATCATTGCATAGGGATCAAGTAGGGCGTGCACTACGCCGTAGGGTTCGGATCGGGCATTTCAGAAACCTTACCGTGCCGGAAAACGTTTAGGCACGTGCGGCACGAGGAACGCACGCTACCGTTGCTTCGAGGGTTTTTTAGGGTTTTAAGGCCGAGGGCGAAGTTATGGCTTCCAGCCCTGGTGGATCCATAGGCCGAGGTGCAGGCAGGGCTCAGGGCAGCGCACCAGGTTCTCCACCACGACCTATGGAGGGGCGAGTAGGGGATGGACCTGGAGGAGCCGGCGCGTGCTTCGTTGGGGGGTTGCTTACCGTACTGGCACCGACCTCTCGTCGCTCTTTCCGTTACGACGGCGCTCGACCCCCTCCTTCGGGGCAGACGCAGCCGGAGAGTGGCAGTGAGGAGGAGGATGAGGAGGAGGATGGTGAGGGCGAGAAGGATGAGGACAATGAGGGTAGCGGGGATGACAGTGAGGCCGGGTGGGACCCAGAGACACATGGCGGTGGGGAGGGGGGAGATGATGATGATGAAGACCACGAGATGGATGGGTTGGAGCCAGAGGGGCGGGAGGAGGAGGTGGGAGAGGGTGGTGGAAGGGCGGCGACAGAGGCGGGATCACAGCATGTGCGTGAAGGGTGTGGGAGCGTGGGGGTTAAGGTGGGGGGGAGAAAGGCCGCGACCATTAGGGAGCCGAGGCTGAGGAAGAGGGCGAACAAGTTGAGGGAGCGGGCGTATCCCTGCACGTTCACTGGGGAGCCCTTGGGCGAGGGTGTGATCGCTCCGGAGTTCCTAGACGATGACGGAGGGTCCGAGAGTAGTAAGGGGACTGGCAAGGGTAATAGGAAGTCGGGGTGGCAAGTACTGATGTTCGGACCGTTAGGGGTAGACGAGAAGCATCAGTGCAAGATTTGCACAGACAGGATTTCGTGGAAACAATCCACAACAACACCCGGCGAGCGGCACTTCGCGAGCTACCACACTGCGCACATGCATGTGTGGCATCACCGTTACCACAACCCGTCCGTTCAGTTGCCAGGGGATATGTTTCCCCGTGGGGGCTACAAGGGAGTGCCGGATGGCTACATCTATCAGTAGCCACATGCCAAGACTTGGCCGCATCTGGCCAAGGAGAAAGGGAAGGCGTCTGGTGGAGGTCATGGGTCAGGCGGGATCGAGCGGTTCATGACATCCAAACTGACCTCGGTGCAGCTACGGCAGGCGATCACGAAGCTGGTGGTCACCTGCGACCTCTCCTTCCGCATCGTCGAGGCCGAGGCTGTGAGTGCCCCATCCCGTCCCTTGCATGATTGGGCAGTATGTGGATAGTGGACGGGTCTGGCCCTTTGTGTTTTGATTATTAGCGTGTGGCCCAGTGCCATATTATGTCAAACCAATCCCCCTGACGTTTATTTCCCTCTCCCTCGTTGTCTCTACCCCTCACCAGTTTCGGGAGCTTTTGATCCTGCTAAACCGCAACTGCGCGCAGAAGAACTTCATCCCCTCGCGCTGGACGGTTTCCCGCGACACTGTGGTCTATGCGGCTGCCGCTCTTCAGTCAGCCATTGCGGAGATGCTGGCGAAGGAGGGGGAGCTGGGGTGCAGGGTGTCGTACACCATCGACATGTGGACAGCGCCCAACAACAGGGCGTGGCTAGTGGTAACTGGTCACTGGGTGGACGAGAATTTCCAGCCCCGCACAATGGTGTTTGAGTTCCGCGAGATTCACGGGCGGCACACGGGCAAGCAGATGGCGAGGGTGGTTGAGGAGACGGTGGTGCAGTGGGGGTTGGAGACGCGTTGTCTTGGTTTCACCTCTGACAACGCCTCTAGCAACACTGCCGCTTTCAGGTGGATGTCGGAGGAGGGTGGTGGCCAGTGCTTCTTCAGCTCGCGCATGCACTTCCGGTAAGAAAGGGAGTGTGCGTGGGATGTGTGATGTGGGAGTCTGGGTGCGTCGTTCCTGCGTGAACAACTTTTGGTTGTACGGGCGGGTGGGCCACTGCGGTTTGAGTGGTAGGGTGTGTCGGGTCTATCCGAATATGTACTCACACTTGCCTTTCTCTCCGCCATTAATGTTGTGTGTTGTGCGCAGGTGCTTGGCACACGTGATCAACCTTGCAGTGAAGGCCGCTCTCGCTGTGACCACCATCCGCAAGTTGTTGAAGATTCTGAGAGAGATGGCGTCGTGGATAGGCTACTCGCCGCAGCGCTCAGGGAAGTTCTTGGGCCTTCAGCAGACCCTGAACACGCAGGCCAACCCTGCCAAACCGAAGCCGGCATTGAAGCTGGTGCAGGACAGTCCCACGCGCTGGGGGTCGACCCACAACATGGTCGAGCGAGCTGAGGTTCTGCAGGAACCCATCTCTGTCTTCTTTGCCCAGACACAGGTGTGTGTGGCTGACAGGTGTTGTGTTGTGTATGCGGTTTAATGTGTGGGTATGTCGGGGTGTTTTGTTCTAGCACTTGCACCACTGCTGGCCATGCTTGACCAAACTTATCGGACCCCCAACAACCTCAACCACCCTGCTTTCCATCTTAACACTCGCCAACCCATACCCTCTACCCGACAGGGCTTGTCGAAGGCTGACAGGGCGAAGGTGGAGACCCTGCGCCTGACGGACGCAGACTGGGAGACTCTGCATGCTATCAAGACGTTCCTCAGCCCATTCGCCAAAGTCTCAAAGGCGGCGGAGGGAACGGCGTACCCTACAGTGGCGATGGTGCTGCCGTACTACAACGGCCTGATCGACGCTATGGAGTCGCGCCTAGCCAAGGGGCCATCGGCTACGCTGAAGCCGATGATTGAGGCGGCGCTGGGTCTCTTGAAGAAGTATGAACTGATGTCCAGCAACGAGTTGTGGATCGCAACCTTTTTGGACCCTTCCATGAAGGCGGCGTGGTTCGACGACCCGCACTAGGAGACGCTGCATCCCGAGACCGACCGGAGGGAGAGGCCTCGTCCCTCGTCAGGCGAGGTGATCCAGCTGGTACGCACACGCGTGACCGAGTACCAGGCCCGGGCTGCAGCGCTTGCACCTCGGCCGACCCCACTTGCCACAGTGACGGAGGATGAGGAGGGGGAGGCGGCGGATAACGACGAAGACGCGCAGTTTCTCCCTAGTCGCCGACGACTTGCGGCGCGTCTGTCAGCCAGCCAGGAGGCGGGGAGGGGTGGGATGGTGCAGGATGACGAGGTCAGCAGGTACTTATCTGAGAGGGTGCGGTGCGACGTGTCACCGTTGGAGTATTGGCGCAACGCCACCAACATGCAGACGCTGAGGCGCATGGCCCGGGATTATCTCGCCATCCCTGCCACGTCCGCGTCGAGCGAGCGCGTGTTCTCCCTCGGCCGCAACCTCATTTCCTGGAAGCGGCACCGCCTAGCCTCTCAGAGGGCGCGAGCTGTCATGGTTCTCCGATCATGGTACACCTCACACCCTGGAGAGAGGATAGGCGAGGGCCGCCGTGCAAAAGGCGTCGCACCACCAGAGTTCGCCATTGAAGGCGAGGGGGAGGATGAGGAGGAGGAGGAGGAGGAGGAGGAGGAGGAGGAGGAGGAGGAGGAGGAGGAGGAGGGGGAGGAGGAGCAGGAGGGGGTGGGTGCTGGCGACACCACTGACGCGGAGGAGCACGGTGTTGTTGGTAGTAGCAGTGGTGTTCAGGCGTAGGACTTCATTTGACAGTGACTTTTATATTCACAGAACATGATGTTGTTGTATGCTTGTGTTCGTTGCATGAACACAGAAACACCCTCCACACCCCTATCTATCTTCCCGACCCCCTAGATCCCCTGTTTGACCGCTGTGACTATAACGAAATTGCCCCAGGGCGAACTCGAACATGTTCGTCCCGAACATGTTCGAGTTCGCCCACCGAGACAAAATGTTCGCCCCCTTGGGCGAACGGCGAACACCTCCTGTAAGGCAAATAGTTCGCCGAACCGAACCCTGTTCGAGTTCGCCCTTTGCTCATCCCTATCCCAACCTACGGAAGTTGCCGAGGTGAGGAGGAGTTCAGCTCTCTCGAAACTTGCTGTGCGAACGAAACTTGAAACCCTAGAAATGTTGCGACTGCAAAAGGAGTTATGCGCAACATGCGGAACCCGGAAGTTGCAGGTAGCTCGTTTTCAATAAGTTATCAGCGAAGCCAACAATTGCGATGACGTCACAGCGACACGTCGTCCGCCTTCCCGCCCTTCGAAACGTATTTTCGCCATTCCCTCCCCGAGTCCCCCGTTCGCCGCAACCCCTATGCTGTCGCGCGACTCCACACGTCACCCGCGCGCCACGCGTCCGACATAGACACGCGCTCCCACCGCGCCGTCACCTTTCCCTCCCACCCGCCGTCCTCTCTCACGTCGCCTAGTGAGCGGGAGTTGGTGCGCGGGCGCGTTTCTGTCTCTGGCGCCTAAGGTACCGTAATTAGGTGCGTTTACGTTTTCCTGTCTTGTTTTCTCTCTCCTGGTCTAAATCTCCATATTTTTCTCGCTTGGTCTCCTCTATCTTTGAAGAGAGTGAGCGCGAGGGAGAATGGGAACGGGAGGCGGGAGATGGTGATGGAGGGGCACAGGGGCCAAGTGTGGAAGGGAGAGACAAGGAGAGGGACGGCAGGGAGATGGAATGGGAGCGTGAGAGCTTGTACGAGGGTGAGTGCGAGGGTGGGTGCGAGGGTGAGTGCGAGGGTGATTGAGAGGTTGAGTGCACCCCTCGCTGTACGGTGCTGGCGTCTCGCTGAAAATTGCAACACAGCTGTTTCATAACAAACCATTCATCAATCAGTCTTCGACCTGCAGGGAAAATATTCGGAAAGGGACATGTTGAACCAAGGCTACCCCACCAGCACACAACAGTCCAAAGTGTTTTGCGATGTCTCCCCCTGCCCTCTTCCCCTCCATTTCCGCATTCGCCGGCCAGACTCCCGCCCAACCCCCTCTCTCCCCTTCCCCCCCCTCTCCTACTCTTCCCCCCACAGCAGTACCGTGCGCCCCATCGCTCCACCTCGGCACCAGCGTGGGGCGCCATGGCGGCAGCGCGCCCGTCGTGTCGCGTGCGAGCGGCGGTGGGCGTGAAGGTGCCCTCTGTTGCGCTGCTCTTTGATCGCCCACCCTCCCCAGGTGCTCCCTGCTGCCATGCTGCTATGCTCCCTGTCCTCCCTGCTTTGTGCCTGCCCTCGCTGTTGCTCTGCTGCGCTCTTCGCTGCTCTTTGGGCCGGCAAGGCCAGCACCAATCGAGTGGCGTTAGATTGTGTTTTCATGCCACTGCACCATCACTCGTCCTACTCTTAGTCTCACGACTCACTTATTGTGGCCGTCTTCCCCTCTTTCCCACCACTTCCCCTCTCTGCTCCACGCACCACCATCCATGCACCACCATGCACCAACATCCACCATCCATGCGCCACCATGCACCAACATCCACCATCCATACACAACTGCCACCATCGCTGCAGCAACTCTCCTGGGAGCTCGTGCCATCTGCCGCCGACCCCCTCGCTGCCACAGCCAGCCCCTTCGCGTCCATCTGACGCTGCTGGCGCCACCCGCGGGCTGTGCTTCGCGCGCATCCAGCCGCCCCGCCCCGCTCCTCCCCAGTGGGTTGCTCTGCGCAGTGCACACAGACTCGGTGGAATACTACTCGGTGCACCGCGTGCAGGCTGACGGCCGCTGCATGTTCCGCGCCCTGGTGAGCCCTGCAGCGCTGAGAGGCGTGTGAGGGAGGGAGGGGCACTGACTCTGAAGTAGTTATCACCTGTAGTAAGCTACAGTGAGTGAGAGGCGTGTGATAAGAGTGGCGAGTGAGGTGAGTGACCAACAAGAATATGGCGCTCTCCCCCTCCGATGCCCCCATGCCCCCATACCCCCATGTTGCAATCGCCCCATACCCCCATGCTGCAATCGCCCCATACCCCCATGTTGCAATCGCCCCATACCCCCATGCTGCAATCGCCCCATACCCCCATGCTGCAATCGCCCCATACCCCCATGTTGCAATCGCCCCATACCCCCATGCTGCAATCGCCCCATACCCCCATGCTGCAATCGCCCCATACCCCCATGTTGCAATCGCCCCATACCCCCATGCTGCAATCGCCCCATACCCCCATGCTGCAATCGCCCCATACCCCCATGTTGCAATCGCCCCATACCCCCATGTTGCAATCGCCCCGTACCCCCATGCTGCAATCGCCCCATACCCCCATGCTGCAATCGCCCCATACCCCCATGTTGCAATCGCCCCATACCCCCATGTTGCAATCGCCCCATACCCCCATGCTGCAATCGCCCCATACCCCCATGTTGCAATCGCCCCATACCCCCATGTTGCAATCGCCCCATACCCCCATGTTGCAATCGCCCCATACCCCCATGCTGCAATCGCCCCATACCCCCATGCTGCAATCGCCCCATACCCCCATGCTGCAATCGCCCCATACCCCCATGTTGCAATCGCCCCATACCCCCATGTTGCAATCGCCCCATACCCCCATGTTGCAATCGCCCCATACCCCCATGGTGCAATCGCCCCATACCCCCATGCTGCAATCGCCCCATACCCCCATGTTGCAATCGCCCCATACCCCCATGTTGCAATCGCCCCATACCCCCATGTTGCAATCGCCCCATACCCCCATGCTGCAATCGCCCCATACCCCCATGTTGCAATCGCCCCATACCCCCATGTTGCAATCGCCCCATACCCCCATGCTGCAATCGCCCCATACCCCCATGCTGCAATCGCCCCATGCCGCCACACTGCAGGTATGGCATGGCGGCCAACAAGAACATGGCGCTCTCCCCCGCCGATGAGACTCGCGAGGCAGGTGTGTGCAGGCAAAGGGTGCGAGCAGACAGAGGTCCATGCCATCAGCTTCCAGTCGCTCATGCCTGTACCCCCCGTACTCCCTGTCTTGTGCCTTGGCCCCCATCCCATCCCATGCCTCGCCACGCCATGCCATGTGCCGTGCTGCACACTGCCATCGCCCGCCCACACTGCTCCCATGCGCCTGTGGACCAGACGAGATGCGGCTGGCGGTGGCGGATGTGCTGTGCGGCAGTGAGAAGCGCCCCGCTGCTTATGAGGAGGCACTCATCGCCATTACCGTGGAGGAGAGCCTCTCGCGGTCAGCAGGGGGGGGGGGGTGTTGATGGGGGGGTAGGAGGGGGATGGGGAGGGGCCGAGGGGGAGGGCAGGGTGGCGCTTATGAGGTGGCACTCATCGCCGTCACCGTGGAGGAGAGCCTCTCGCGGTAAGGGGAGGGGGGAGAGGTGGAGGGAGGGGAGGAAGAGGGGGAGGGGGGGGGGGTGGGATGGGGGGTTAAGGGGGAGAGGAGGGCGAGGCGGATGAGCAGGGAGGGCGGTAATGGGCATCACCGTGGAGGAGAGCCTCTCCTGGTCATCAGAGGGAGGGGGTGGCGGGGTGGGAAGGGAAGGAGAGGAGGGGCAAGGGGATGGGCAGGGAGGTCAGGTGGGCATTGAGTGGAGGAGATGAGTGGGTGATGCATGGGAGGGTGGTGAGGGAGCAGCCACTGCATGACGTGTTCTGGATCATGGCTTCACAGGACAGTCACGGTAACAGCTTGCAAAGCAACTTTGCGTGGGACATGGGACATGGGATCAAGGATGAAAAATACGGCTATCGTATTATACGGGGCGTTTTTTTCGATGGTATAATACGTTCAGTTTTCCATAGTTTCGGTCGTTCTTTTGTTGGCCTTTTTTTTGTCGGTTTTTTTTTCCAGAATCTACTGAAATGGCTACAACAAGGACCACTACTACTGCCGCTACCCTTACTATGCATGCATACCTAGACAAGTACCGGCCTTTAGCCTATATCTCCTCCTAAATCCATCCCCACCCCACTATACTCACCCTGCTGCCTTCTATTCTTCCTACTCCACCACCTCGTCATCCTCTTCCTCCACCCTCCCCACTCTAACCGTCATACTCCTCGTCATCCTCTTCCTCCTCTTCCTCCTCCCCACTTGAACCGTCGCTGCAATCCCAGGCATATCGTCCCTTGGGATTCTGGGCAGGCTCTTCCTCCTCCCCACCGCTGTCTTCCGCCTCCTCTTCCTCCTCCGCATCCCCTGTTTTTCCTTTCCCCTTTCCCTTGCATGCACCATTGCCCTTCCCCTTCTTCTTCCCTTTAGATGACTTACCCGCCTTCCCTTTCCTCTTCTTGCCGATGCTCCCAAATTTCGACCAATCAATGGTGCATTCCTCCTCCACGGGTGCCTCCTCCGCACCCCCTTCCTCCACCTCCACTTCGGCCGGGATGATGGCAGCCCCTTCCTTGAGGGTGCCGTTGCCCAGGTCCTGATAGAGCTTGGAACGCAGGGCTGCCTTTCGATCAAAGGCATCACGGGCCCGCCGGGTGAAGGCGACGAAGGTGACGTCAGTCATCTTCTTCGCCGTGAGGCGGTTCCGGTCGCGCCTCTGCACACGTGCCAGCGCCGACCAGTACCTCTCCACCTCGGAGGAGGTGACTGGCTGTGACAGAGACGTCACAGCCAGGTCTTGGAGCGCCTGCACTTCCCCACCAAACAGGAACCACCATTCCGCCTCCGTCATGCGCGCCGCCTCCACCAAGGTAGTTGCTGCCCAACGGGCATCGTCAGAGCCCAACCTGCCCTCCCCTCGGTGAAACTGAGCCACCTACGCAGCTAGCGTTATGCGCTGCTGCACATCCCGCCCCGGGCCTGGATTGCCTCATCCACCCCCTTCCTAATCTCCTTGTCATTCCTTACCTCCCCGATGTACTGGTTACGGTAGTTGAGGAGCCAACCGATGGCGTGCAGGGGGTTGTGCAGTTGTGCGTCCCACCTCCTGGCAATGATCGCCTTGATGGTGGTGAGAAAGGTGCTCTTGTCCTTCGGCAATAGCAGACCCGTCCGCTTGATGAAGTGTGCGGCTGCTCACAGTGAATAACGAGCACTAATTAGATAGGAAGCATGACCGGGTGGGTGGAGAGATTAACAATCAATACCAAAGCGTAATACTTTCAGCCGTCTCACTCACCAGCCGTCTCAGCCGCCTCATTAGTCTTCACCGTGGCTTCAAGCATGAGGCCGTACAGCTGCCCCATGACTTGAGTCCGTGTGTCGACGGCGCGAAGAACCTCGTAGATGGGAGTCATGAGGCGGTGCACGGCCGTCCCACAGTCCCAAAAACATCGTCCAAGAGCAGCTTCCTAACCTCCATCCCCTCCTCCGTCCGTGCCACCGCCACATCCTCCCATTCCTCGCTGACTACCATCGCCCTCAACGCGCGCTTCACCTCCAGGAACCTGCCGAGCATGATGACCTGGGTGCCAAATCTCGTTGCACCAGGCCGCACCAACGAGAGCTTTGTAAAAAGCTCACGGAACAAGATGACGGCGGAGGCGGAGCCTTTGATCATCATCACTACCTGATGCACTTGGGAAAGGACGAGTTTAACAGCAGGGATCTTGCCGATGTCGTGCAGCATGAGGTCGAGGCAGTGGGCGGCGCAGTTGGTGAAGAAGATATGGGGATAATCCGCGCTTAGCTTGTTGGCGGCGTTTTTGTTGTTCGAAGCGTTATCCATCACGACTTGGACGACATGCTTCGGCCCCATCGTGGTGATCGCTCCCTGAATAAGACCCGCCAAGTAGTCCCCGGTTTTTTTGGCGGTCTTCGAGTCGACGACGTCGACGATGACGGGTGCAGTGTCATTTTGCGCGATGACACACACCAAACCGCGGGATTTGATGCATGTCCATCCATCGACGGAGAGCGTGCACCCGCTGGTCTTCCAGCTCTCCTTCAGCGGCCGCAGCAGGTCCTCGGAGTCCGCCTTCAGCTTGTCCAGCAGCGGGCCGGATACCTTGTACGGGGTTGGGAGGGTGTACGGTTTCGCGTACATGATCACCGCATCAACGAAGGCCTGGATCGATTTCGACTTGCTGACGTTGAAGGCGAGGTCGTTCTCGGCAACTGCAGCAGCCCACAGGTAATCCAGGCGATTATGCGCAACTTGGTCCATCATGTCACGGATATCTCGCTGCCGGGAGCGACGCACGGGCTGCACCTCCACCGTGGACGTGGAGGCACGGTTTGATCCTCCCGTAGAATTTCCCGTGGTCGAGCGCTCCTGATCGACTGTCGCCCGCAGCTGCTTAGCGTAGTCCGACTTGCACATCGCGACGTTCTTGTCCCTCTTGTTAGTGCCGAACATGTGCTCGCCTATCCTAGTCGCATTAGCCGTCACAGGATTCTTGCAATGAATGCAGGTAGCACCGACTACGTTGCCTTCGTCATCCTTAATCTTCTTGACATGCTCCCAAAACTGAGAAGCGGGACGCACCATGGCGGCTATGTGGAGAAAGACGCGTCCTGCGTCTAGGACGCTTCCGTCTAGATGCAGCGTCTTAGACGCAGGACGCTAGAGGAGGGCCTTTAGGACGCATGAAAAGACGGATGCCCGGGCAGGGCAAAAAAAACCCCCGGGCAGCCGAAAAATGATGTTATAGGGTATGGGAAAGGGGGGGGGAACGACGATGCACACATTTGAGGCAAAATCGTCCCTTCAAATTTTCAGGGTTTAGGGTTTACGAAGGAGAATTGTCTTGGTAAACCCTCTAGGGTGTTTTTGATGGTCGAAATGGGTTGGGGGGGGTCGACATGACGCGAAATTGACAGTCGCGTCGAAATCGTCAGAGTCAATTTCGCGCTGGGGCAAATTTTTAATTTTTTTCGGTCAGCCTGAAAAAAAATTAGGGGTGCGTCCTGCGTCTCTGCGTCTGGACGCTGCGTCCAGACGCAGGACGCAGCAGGACGCGAGCGTCTTTCTCCACATAGCATGGCGGTGAACTAGACTATGCTAAGAAAGCGTGGGTCAGAGACTGTTGTTCTGAGATACGGCAGCCAGAGAGAGGATGAATGTGTCGAATGGGATTTTCCTCCTCCAATATGTACCTCTTACTCCTTGATTGTGCTGCTTTGTCGAGGGGTGTTTGAAGAATGAATGACGTGAGATGGGAGATGGATGGGCGATTACTATTGGCTGGAAATGTGTCGCGCGCAATTGTGCGAGGCGTCACCGATTGCAGGCGAAAACTAAACCCAGCGCGCGAGTTGTGCTAACGACTCCGCGAAACGGGTAAGAAGGTTGAATGGGTTCGCCAATGGTGTACATTTCCGCGCCTCGGAAATTTGTTGTCGTCGCGATTCGGCGAACTACTCAAACGACTCTGCGAAACGGGTAAGCGATTTTATACCGTTCGTCAAAATGTCGCGCCACGACATTTTCCCGACATGCGCGACTCGGCCCAAATTCGAGCGAGAATGACAAGACTTCTCATGAAATCCCCCATATTGAACTCGACGGGGCTGATTGTTGAAATTCGGTGTACACTTTCTCAGTTTTAAAATTTTGTCCGGAAAAAACGACCGTATTTTTAATCGAAATTTAAAATTAACATTTCACCGTACTAAACCGTTTTAAACGACCGTATAATGCGATATCGTATAATACGGTAGAAAATCAATATTGGGGTCGTATTTTTTATCCTTGCATGGGACGTGGGACGTGGGACATGGGACGTGGGACATGGGACGTGGGACATGGGACGTGGGACATAGGACCTGGGACATGGGACATGGGATATGGTGTTAGTGTTAGTCCTCAATCTCACACTTTGTATTTTGTACTTTCGATATCCTAGCGTAGTGTACTTTGCACTTTATGTTTGGTTGGGTGTACACCCACAACCCAACCAAACCGAAATGTAATCTCCAAGAAATCTCCAACCCATCAATCAGAGATTACCTTTTAATCTATGTTGCGATATACGCTTTTGGCCTTGAGCGTATAGCGTTTATACGCTAGCGTTTACACGCTATACGCTATCAAATGCGCTATATGCTCGGGAGTTTTTTTCTGGGCAGCCCAAGGTGGAAATTTTCGGGTATATATAGAAATTTGCCGTTTTTCACGGCGATCATTTCGCAGTGGTCGGATTGCTCATCGGGGATCTAGGGTAGCGGGAATGTCGCTTCAATGTTTGGATTCATGTTGGAGTTGCAATTTCGAATTTCAGGGTTCCACCGCTTTGAACCGAACCCAATCTACGAACTCCAACCTTTCCACTACGCCCCCT